TAAATAAATGAGATCTTTATAACAGAATAGCAGACTTCTTACATAAAATGTATAGAATTATCAGTTGTCACTCTCCCAAATGATAGGCAGCGAGATGATCTAAGCTTGTTTTAGTTTAGTTTTTTTTGTGGGGCAAAACACATACTGTAATGCAATACAATTATAACTTGATTTCTTTGTTGCTACAGAATTATACTAAATTTTAGAAATGTGCTAAAAGGCCTTTTACTTGATAAAGTATACATTTTTAATCATATGACAGAAAGCTTGTAGTAGATTGTGTCAATCAGGTTTTTCAGCAAAGTTTTGTTCAAGTTTATAATTCAGAGGCCTCAGAAATGTGTGCATCAAATATGATGTAGTAGGCTTTGTGGTTAAAGAAACAGTTTACTGAAAATAAAAAAAAAATCTGTCAGCATTCACCCTGTAAAGACAAATTATCATTGTATGCATCTGACTTTGATGGTATTGACAAAAACTGCTGAGACACGTTTCAAAATATCTTCTTCAAATAAAGGTTTGGAGCGACATGAAAGTGAGTAAATGATGACAAAAGATATTTTGTAACCATATTTGTTTGTTCTCGCTGAAGCTGCCGGTAAACATACTTTACCATTGCATCTTAATTCAGGCAATAGTTTGTTGGTTGTACGGTATTCCTGTTTTTATTTCACTGAGCTTCAGATTGATTTGCTGCCAAAGTGGGCGTTGCAGTTCATGACAGGGAATCGGAGAGAAATGTCAGAGGCAGTCTTTTAGTCTGACACCCCTCTTTCATTTTTAATAGGTAAATGTGACAGACCTCTAACAAAAGACAGCAAGACTTCAGCAAAGGCAGTCGGTAGGTGTGACATCCTTTACCAAAATAGAGTTAAGTGCAGTTTTAACTCAAGTGCAGTTTTTCCATGTGTTCAGTTAGAAAACATGGTAATCATTCGATCAGAAACATGTTGCCGAATGATATTATTTGTTAAGCAATTTGTACTTCACAACCAGAAGAAACCAACCAGATGGAAAGATCTTACACCAATGCTGGATCTCATGGGTCAACTGAGACAAACATGCACATGGTTTGAAGAGCAATGTCCTCACGTCGCACTCAAATAGCTTATAACAAGTGTTTACACACAATGTGAGGAGTGGATGAAGAAGGTCCTCCATACTGTCTCGCTCTGAGCTGTACCACCCAGTTGGAGGCTGTCTCGTGATGGATGAGTGCATCGTGAATTCAATGTTTTGCCAGAGCTGTGTGAAAGCACTTCATGTGTATGCTACGATTCCTTCAGGCAGCTGTGACAGGTTGATTTATTCTGTAAGAGCCAGAGGCGGTGTGTGTGATTGGTTGTGCTCTGTAGCTGGATGCAGAAATCATAGCTCAGTCCTGCCCCACTATCTCCTCGGTCATTGACTCTCATCTACTGCTCTAAGAGTGCAGTGTTTTTCCCCTCTACAGTTCAAGAGGTCCCATCTGCATTAAAAACACAGATATTTGGGTGCTTTTTGAGTTCAGTGAGCAACAAATCTAATATTGTGTAATCTGATATGCAGAGCTTTAACTGAACAGAAGCCAAATTACTTTTTTTATTTGACAAACTGTATTACTGGATCAAGAAGCGGTTTAGTTCTGTAGTGATCCTGATTTTATTTGTGCCATATATAAAGGTCAGTCTATTTTGAAAGATAATTTTTGCTTGTTTATGAAAAGAAACCATAAATATTCTACCAAACAAAGATTCTCAAAGTCTGAACAAAGATTTACTACAATAAAATTTGGCTGTGATTATGTATCTTAAATTACTACATTCATTTTAAACTGGATTCATCCAGAAAATTACTTGTATTTCATTAGATATGTTTACATGCTCTAATTATTGGCAATCTGATTGAATGTAATCACATTTCATTTCAAACTGAAAGTTCTATCCTTAACATTGCAATCAGATTCACATATTTGTTTACGTGTGCATTAGCAATAGCATTACTATTTCGTTGTTCAGCACATGTGCATTGCATCATTTGCCACATTCAGAAACAGAGAAAGACACCCCAAGTCACAAGAGCTACAGCGAGCATAACTGGCTTAATGCTTTGATGACACAGGCCTATCAAAAAAAAAAAAAAAGTTAGAAAAGCTTTTTCAGCAAATATTCAGTCTCTACCAGTGACCAGATCATACACTCTAAAAAATGCTGGGTTGTTTCAACCCAACTTTGGGTCAAATATGGACTAACCCAACCGTTGGGTTCAATTTTTACATTAAATTTTTAACCCAAAAGTTAGGTTAGTCCATATTTGACCCAAAGTTGGGTTGAAACAACCCAGCATTTTTTAGAGTGTAACACATAAAACATAAATAAACATATGCACACATGTTTGTAAGCTGTAAACATCACTGCACTGTGCATGTGTGCTTGCAAATTTGAATCAGATTTCGTTTTTCAATTTCATTTGGATCAAGCTCAACCAGATTGACTGAGCCAAAAATGAACTTGAACTTGAACAATGCGATTTTAAACGGATTATTTGGTTGCATGTAAACATACCTTTGAATGAATTGTGAAATGGTTCTGGTTGTGTGTTTCCCAAACGATGACATAACTTTCTGCTTAACTACCATAGTTGGAGAGACTAACTCCCTCACGATTGTTTCCCGAAAATGCAGGAACTTTGTAGCATATCCATAATTTGAATCACAGTTCGAGAGCTGTATTTCCAACCACACAAATTTGCAATGCTCTTTGCGAATGTTCGTTGGGACTACAGTATGTATTCAGAAAACACCAAATTGCTGAACTATGCTGGTAACATCGGAACTTGCAACCATAGTTGGCTAACTATACTTTTGGGAAATGCACCCTTGAACGATTCACAGTTCTTCTGATGACAAAAATTACAAATCAGACTCTGATTTGTAATTTTTGTCATCAGAAGTGTACAACAGTGCAGGCACAAGCTAAGTGTTGAGAGAGAATGAGTCAACTAGGTGCTTGTGTACGAGTTAAGGCTGTTTCGTGAATCTTTTTAACCACTTCATAAAAATAATTTGTTCGCAAATCAGACACAGTGGTTTGTGGTATGTTCTGTGTAGCTTGTTGGAAACACTGGTGTGCAAAGATGTGTTTAAATAGCATAGCATGGAATGATACCAAAACGACTGGTGCCAATGTTGACTAGATTTTAAATTGTTGTAAATTAGTGTTGTCCAGAATTTGACTATTTCATGCAGTCTGGAGCCCTTCAGATGATGTTTAAGCAAAGCAGCACTGTTGACAAAAGTAAATTAATTAAATAGAGTACAAAGATACAAACAAAAATTGTACACGGTCCATTAATTTATGTAATGCAATTCCTTTTGTCCATTGTTGGAGTGTCTGGATTGTTGCGATGATGTTTAAAGACTTCAATTTAAAAAAAAGACAGCTGTGGCTCTGTGATAATGGCCTCGAGACTTGTGGGCTGAGCCTTCAAACCTTCTGAGGCTGATGGTCTTAATCTAAGAAGACTGATACGGCCAACCACCCACCTTTCCACACACATACAAATAAAATTGCTCACCCACTTGCAAGTTAACCGAGTTTAGCAGGGCTCCCGAGGTCCCTTCCATTCCGCCACTTATAACACCTGACTGACTCGCAGTGTTGCACAGGAAATTACTTTGGAAAAACCAGGCTGGGGGGGGGATTATTGAATTATGCCAGAACCGTTCCGTGAGAAGAGAGGTGGAATTATTTGCCGCCACGGCATCTACCGTCAACTCCCGTGAAATCAGCCAGCTGTTCGGAGCTATTTTTACAGGGACCACAGCTGCAGAAGGCTAGCCGAGACACTGGTCGGTCATAGCAAACCAGCAAATATGAGAGTCCGTCTGTTATTATACGCACTACTGCTTCACTTGATCCCAAGGGCCGGTTTTTGAGGCAGTAGCAAAGTCAAAGCTACCTGTGGGAGGTGAGCTCAGGACCCAATGCACTAATGAAGAACTGTACCATCATTAACCTAAATTCCCCTAATGGCCTGTAATTATAGAGAGTGCATTGTCAGCAAGGGACACTTAAGCTTTTCACAGAGGGAGCACTTACCATCAACCTTATTACTCTAAAAAGACATGCGGGAAAAAGCATCAAATAGATATTCTTAATAATCACAAAGCTGAAAAGCAGGAGTACTGAGTATAAATGCAGGACAGGCTAAAAATGATCATTAATTTCGGGCAACCAGAATCTAATTCGTCCACTCATTATGTTGTATTAGCACCCTCTAATAGTGTTTTTGTACACCGTGCACCCTGTATTGTCTCGTAGCAGAGGAAAGGGAAATTTGCATCATTAAAGAAGCACAGGTGATGGAACATCGTTTGAAAACACCTGGAGCATATAAGCAGAAAAGAGCTAGAGTGCTTAGATGAATTTCAGAGAAAGACTGGGGCACACAGCTTGCGGTCTGGAGTGCTGAAAGGACATGTTTATTTAGCCGGCTGAGTATCGCTCCTGGTGTGAAGATGAACAAATGTGCTCCATCAGTCCTGATGGTGTTTTTTAGCCAAGCTGCCCGCTTTCAGTACTCCTCCTCCATATTTCCCTTCGCAAACAACTCATCGTGTACGTCGAGTCAGCACGTAACATGCATGAGCAGTCGGTGTGAAATGTTTTTATAGAGAAAATGCTGTGAACTCTGTTTTACGTCCATTTTTGTGTTACATTTCCAGGCATATGATTACAGGAGCTGCCAGTCATTCTTTGAAATACATAATGCGGCATTATTCATCTGGAGCGCCTGAACACAATATGTCTGTCAATGTGTGTTTTGTCAATGCCAGTGTATTATTTAAGTGACAGATTCACAAAATGATCTCACTGAATGAGCTTAAAAATACAAAAGCTCACCAGTCACTGACAACGCTGACTCATTTTTATCTTTAAACTTATCTTTAAACGAAGCATGTGACGTTCGCATCTCCTGTGGAGTAACGCCTCTCTTTGTTTCTTACGATGCTTCCTCAGGGGCAAGGAGAAGCTTCAGCAAGAGGCACAAGTATGGAGGGGGACTGTCTTAGTTGCATCAAGTACCTCATGTTCATCTTCAACTTCTTTATTTTTGTAAGTGCTTTCTTTCTCTTGAATGGCACGGGAGAATTATACACTCTTAAAAATGAAGCTTCCAAATGAGGGATTTGCAGTGATGCCATTCCCCAAAGAACCTTTCATTCAACCGTTCTTAAAAGAACCATTTGTTTTTAGTGTGAAGAACATTTGAATAATTTAAAGAACCTCTTCCATTCCCCTTTCCATTCCTAAAAAAGGTGAATGTTCTTGAAAGGTTCCTCATGGAACCATTGATGCAGATAAAGAACATTTATTTTTAAGAGTGTAGGCCATTGTTTTACATACCGTAGGCTGATACGATCTAGACTTGACTGTGACATCATGCTAGTTGTGTTTGTTTTCGACTGACTAGGAGTGATGATTTGCTTTGGTTGGAGGTGTGGGAAGTATCTGTTTTCTTTAATATATTAAAAACCTGATGATATGCAGGTGCAGACTCTTGTTTTCCTAACAAAACGTGTAGTTCAAAAGAGTCTCAATGATCCAAGTCATCACTTTGAACAAATGTCAACTTTACAGTATGAACAAACGCACTGATCTTGTGCCAACGTGCCTTCGTTTTGCTCATGAACCACACTGCACTTCCTTTGTACCTCAAAGGTGTTTTTTTAGCAGCCTCATGAATTTCCCTCTACCACACTAATGCTGTGGGAAAATGTGCTGTTCCATTGAAAAACTGAGCATCAGTCACTTTGATAAGCTCAATATGGCTATTTAATCAAATTATATTTTGTGTTTATATTGTTATACTAAGCCATTTTCTACTCCTTTAGCTTGGAGGTGCATTCCTTCTAGGGGTGGGAATCTGGGTGCTGGTGGATCCGACAGGTTTCCGGGAGATTGTGGCAGCCAACCCTCTCCTGTTTACTGGAGTCTATGCAATTTTGATCATGGGCGGGATGCTGTTCCTACTGGGATTTCTGGGTTGCTGCGGAGCCATACGAGAAAATAAATGTCTTCTACTGTTTGTATGGGATTTTCTTTTATTACTAGATATATAATTCATATTATATGTCTATATTGGATATTTATTGTAAATGCTCATTTCCACCATTTGTACATTTTAGATTATTTTTGCTGTTATCTAATGCTGGCTTAAAATCAGTCTTTAAAAACTCTAATAATTTAATGACACTACTCTTTAGCAAATATCAAATTAAATGTCAATTTTTTTGGTACTTATAATTAATACATTAATTATACGTTATAATACATTATAATGTTGTGATGCCTAAATTCACTTGTAGCATTTAAAATATTACTTTTTTTAATTTTGTGTTTTATGTGTATTTATTTAGACAAAAATATATATTTTAATATCAGCCATAACATTAAAAAAATAATTGGCTTATCAGCATCAGAATTATATTAATATTGTGCATCCCTATTTAGCATCAAAAAGCAATGTGTGTAACACCTAATATTGCTTATTTCTTGCATATTTAGGCATCTGAAGTACTTCACATCTGAAGTACTTCACATTTGATATAAATTATCAATTTATTTAAACAGAATAATATACATTTTAAAATAGGCTATAACATGAAAATAATAATTGGCTTATCAATATCAGCCAGAATGATATTAATATTGTGAATTCCTGTTCACATCTGATTTAGATGCTAATATCCTGTTTTTCTCCCACAGTTCTTCATGCTCATACTCATCATATTCCTGGCAGAGTTGGCGGTGGCCATTCTGGCATTCATTTTCCGGGAGCATGTGAGTATTATTATAGCTGGATATGATCAAGCCACCAGTAATATACCTCTGCTCTCACTACTACTGTCTATCTGTGGATCAACAGCTCACCAGAGATTACTTCACCAAGGAGCTGAAAACACATTACCAAGGCACCAATAGCACTGATGTCTTCACCTCCACATGGAACGCCATTATGACTACAGTACGATAACATACTGTACAAAATATAAAACAATGATGGCATTAAAGTCGTTTAACTGGGTATTGGTGTCTTCATAGTTTGATTGCTGTGGGGTGAACAGTGCTGAAGACTTTGATGATCAGAGCCTCTTCAGACGACTGAACCCCAGCAGACTAGTGCCAGAGGTCTGTTGCCAGAGGAACCATCTGATGATGAGTAAGGAGGAGTGTCTCAAGGGAATTATGCCAATCCGTAACAAGGTCAGCAATGAGTTTAGTACAAATTAGGAAATTAATGGGAATGAATATGCAACAAAAAATGCATCAAGAAATTGAGTAGAAAAAAGAATGAAAACCAAAATCAAAGGAAGTAAATATGTCCTTTTTGGAGAAAGGACATACATAATAACTCTGAAAATGAATGATTTGAGTTTCTGAGTCATGTATACACTTCTGTTAGTATATATACATTGATTCTAACCAATTTGGAATTACATTACTATCAGTAGCTTGCAATAAATTAGAAATTCAACATCCACTGAAACAACATTTTGTTCTCTCATATTAAAACGTGTACTTCTTTGAAACAGGGCTGTTATTCAGCAGTGGTGGACTATTTTGAGACATACATCTATATGGCTGGAGCCCTTGCTATTGTGGTGCTGACTATTGAAGTAAGGTTATGATTTTGCTTTTTAATAATAAAGTGTGATGTGATGGTTTTACACTTAGAATGTGATGACAAATTGTTTTGCAAGAACTATGGGTTGTGATCGCCACCTAGTGGAGAGAGTAGAAGTGGCTTTGCCATGAAACGGGCTTCTCACAATTCTACTCAAATGAATGTAGAATATAGAAGTATTTTAAAACAGTATTTGCATTGAGCTCTTTGCTAAACTATATTTGTTTTTCTTTCTCTCCCGTCAGCTTTTTGCCATGGTGTTTGCTATGTGTTTGTTTAGGGGAATCCAGTGATCTTAACATGCTGTAAATTAAGGACATTTTGAGGAGGAGGAACATGGCATGGCATGGAAGACATTTTTAAATAAGAAAAAGAAGAAAACACTTATATATTTGCCATCTCTATGTTGTTGTGTTGGAATATCTGAGAATTGCCAAAAAATGTATCGTACTTCACAGCTGGGACTTTGAGGTACTTGTGAAATCATTCGTAAATTAAGGGTGGCATCTATGGCAGTCCTTTAAGGTTAATGGAGGACACCTTGCACTGATATTTGGTTGAATATTTATAGATGACAAAAAGACTGATTTGTACCAAGATGTTTTACCTCTTATCTACAGTAGATTGTTCACCACTGCTCCAGAGCCATGCTTAAAAAAACTACACTGTGTGAATGGGAGTGTGTGTCTGTGAAACAGAGAAGATTGGTTTGTGTGTGTGCTTGTTTCTGTATAAAATCCAAGAGGCCAGCAGCTTCTATAAAGTAATGTTTTGTGAGTTGCAACCATGAATATTTTATGTGATTTTAGCAAAACTGTGCTGTATTTGTGTTGTATCTATTGTACACATGACATTGAATGATATAAAAAAAATAAACATCTGCAGTGCTTATTTGCATTGTGTTTCCCATCACCATTTGAATATGACTATTCCAATAGCAATTTTTTTTTTTGCAAAAACGTAAATTTTGTAGCACATACTAAATACTACATAAACCAATTATGGCTTTAAAGAATGTGTAAGTACACTGGACTATTGAAATTATGGGAAATGTATGGTTTAAGTGTAACCCATAACTCCAGAGTGGTGCATAAATATTTCATACTAAAAATGATTATCTAGGAAGCCCAGTTTTAAAACCTACCTAATATGAAAGTGGTTTACAGTTCACAGAAAAAGAAATGAATGGAAAAAAGTGCTACAAGTTGCTTACCCTGCCTCAGGCTGTACAAGATAAATATCCTGGGCAGTGTATTGGTTCTCAAGACTCATGGGACTTAAAGAGACACACAGGTAAGAAGCCTAAAATGCCCTAATCCCTGTTTCATCATTAACTGTTGTTAACTAAAATAATGCAGAAGTTCTTGGGTAAATCAAATAAGGCGTATGGAAGATCAATAGTTCTTGCTCCTCGGGACTTGAATTTGACAGACACATTGAGTCAACATTGAATTTAGCATGTTGGACAAGCTTGTCATTAGGTTTGCAGCCAGAATGAATTTGCTTTTTTCAAGTGCTAATCATCCATTAACCACTTGTCAGCAATATCATGTTTACTGATTTTCATTTCCTTGACTACCTGCAATTATTTTCCGAATGCTAACTGCCTGTTTCATTTTGTTTGCCTGCTTTATGAGCATTGTTTGTACTGTTTGTAAAATGTTTAAATTGTAAATAATATATATGTGTTTGTTTATGAAATATGTTAACCTACTTGTTAGTTAGACTTTATTGCTCACACTGGACACAACCAACACTGGATGACATTCCTGAGATCTTAAGATCTTTCTGCCTTCTTTCACCATAGCCAATTTAGGTCATGCAACACTCTACTAAGGAGGAAAGTAGTTGAATCAGATCTATCAGAAATGGTGGACCAGCATAATCACTCTCCAAAATATTAAGTAAATATGACAGTCCACAAACTTGTTGATGTTCCTGTCATTGTTGAAATCAAATGGCAAGGGTCAACTCTGCTTTATGTCAGAGATTTCAGCAAGGTTATGATTATGATTGTACCATTATGATTACAAACAGTTTATAAGTGTTCTTGCTACACATAACTGCTGTGACTTATATTTGAACACAGTAGGTTTATAACAAATGCTTTATTATCAACATGAAGGATCAGCCTGTACTGTAGTACTAAAAAAGGCACATTTCTACTTACTATTGTAGTTCCAGACACAAATTATCTTAATAATCATAATAAATATTCAGACAAGTGCACCTATTCAGCCCACTTTTAACTGAAAAGTATATCTATCTATCTATCTATCTATCTATCTATCTAGTCATTTGAGAGTCAGACAGTTCTCTATTGAATTTTAATTACATTTCACTGTATTTGTGACTCTTTACTCATTTTAAAATTTCAGAAATGAACATAGAAAACCAATATTTCTCTTTCATTGTATTCATGTTTTCCTAACTAAACTACGCCAACATAAACTAAAATGTCTGAAAACAGATTTGAGTGGATCTTAAAGGTACATTTATCCTTTATTCTGACAATCCATTATCAAATATCACACTTACATCCAATTTCCTGTCAAGTAACTGAATTTCTTTCTCCACTTTGCGCATTTTTAAAGCTCTGTATGCCATTTCTTGCTTTCTGTTTGAGATCTCTATTTTGAGATACTTCTTGTATAGTGTCTTAACATCTTCCACAGGTTCCTTTAAAAAGAAAGCATTAAAAAAATGAATTTATTAAATATGAATTCAACTTAAAAATAAGAATCTGTACATATTTTTTCTAAGCATTTACTGTGTATTAAATATTATATTGTTTATTTAATACTATAATCATTGATATCCCATTAAAAATTAAAGTAAACTTACAGAGTCCAGCTCTTCGTCTGATAACACAGGTGGCTGAAGTAGGGCCAGTCCATGTTCAGTCACTGAAATGATGTGATATGAATTATGTATATTTACTGCAGTATCGATTTGTAGAGACAAATATAGCATGTGGTGCACATACCTTTGACATAACTGCTGCAGCCAGCTGTATCTCCTGGATCAGAGGAGCAGCCACCAACTATGCTCGCTATGATAGGACCCTCCTCATTGTTCTCAGGGGGCAGCTCCTCTTCATCTATGTACTCCTCTTTTGTTGGGACTAGTCCCATCTTCTTCATTGCAGCCCTTCTCTTGTTAGCTAAATTATGTTAAACCTTCAAGTTATTCAATTCAAAACACTGAGTTTTCAAAATTCTAATGAAAAATTCTGGGCTCCAGCGGTTTTCAAACTGGGCCCAGGGGGCCACAAGGGGGTGCTAAGGGTCTGAGGAAACTGTCACAAAAAAAAAAGTGTAAAACGTACAAGAAAAAGGTTTGATTATACTTTGACTCTGCTTTATAACAACAACAACAATAATAATAATAAACAAAAAAAGTGTTGCACTGTACACGCTTTCAAGAATAGTTTGTATTTTAGGTGTAAAATTACTATAAATTAATTACTATAAATAAAATAAAACATCTGTTGTGTGTTATCGTCATAGTTATACATTTAAAATTCTGAAATATATACAGCTGACATTACTCTAAAAGTGAGTAAAAAAAGGATTAATGTCATTATATTGGGCAGTCCCTAACAAAAAAAAAGGGCATCAAACCCACTAAAAAAAACAAAAAAACACCATGACCTACCACTTTGAACGATATTTTTGTATTTCGTCTTCACTTGTTGCCACGTTCTTCTAGGTCCCATAGGGTTGGATCTGTAATTGTAAGCGTGACCTACAGAATAAGACTGTAGCCAAAACAATACACATACACTATTTGGTCAGCACAGGTGTCATATATATTTCGTATTTAGTGCTCTCCCAGAGTAATTAAATGATAGATATACTTACGCATTTAATTTGGCAGCTATTTTTCGCCACGCATCCTGACGGACTTTTGCAGCCGCTATAGTATTCCCTTTGGTCTTTATTAAATGTTTAACTTCCTCATATCCTTCCATTAAAAGTTGCAATTCAGCAGCGCTGAAATATGCAGCCCGCTGTTTAGCCATGCTGTGATTAGGCTAGTCTACACAGACTTATAAATTCTCACATGAACGGTCAGCTGTCTTTATTAGCTAGATATGTAAATCCGAGATATGTGTTAGAAGAGCCGGGAAAACTCCATTTCAGATCGAGCTAGGTCAATCCGGGATATGTGAACTAATCCGGGTTTTGTTAAACCATTGTCGAAGAACAGGACCCAGAAGACTGTTTCTTGCCTAAAAACACCAGGCATAAAGAAAAGATTGCTCTAATACCCTAACTAATGCTCAATAACACCGTTTACAGTTATTTACGCCATAAGAAAAAATGGTGGCTGAAACGGCGAACTGATAGCTGTTGTTTGTGGCTGTGTATAAAATAACTAGTGAGGTAGCTAGCTAGACACATACGGAACGTGGCATTAACACCTAAAAATGCTGTCTAGGTAGGCGGCTTACTAGGTTTCAAGCCACAGCCTATGCCTCACATTACTTCTCCCTCTACAGCAGATGGCGCACGCGACCCGAATTACAAGAAAAACTGATGGAACTACGCATGAAGGAGAGACTAAGTTCTTTCCTGTCAGCTGTCCCTTTAGCATTAGCATAAAGAATGTATTGTGGGATAATAAACAAAATTCAGTCAAAAATTTCAATATCAGCCTTTGCAGCATACTGGACCAACAAATGAGATTATGGTTGAGGCGTGCTGAGATTTGAGGCAGTGAACTGGATACCGTAAAGGTTAGTTCATGATTTTGTAGTTGTTAGCGTTCCTGCTATTGTTAGCGAGTGTGCTTTTGGATTTATTTACAACCCAAGACAGTTCATATTTTGAGTAAAATGCTTAAACATTGCCTTCTGTTATTAATAAATATTATTCGCAAAGAAATGCGAGAGACTGGTCTACACAAAGTAACTGGAGTTTGAGGGATTAATCGTATGATAGATTAGATGTATCAACTGTGTAATAAATTATGTTAGAATTAGAACAATCAATCATATAATAAATTAATGGGAATTAGATGAAACAATCATGTCTAATTCCAGTAAATGTATTATATGATATACATCAAATTCCAAATAATTATCATATCATATAGCATAATTCGAACCTGATCAATCATATAAGAAATTAGAATGAAAACAATCCGTCATATACACTGATCCATACTTAATTTATTAAATGAATGATTGTTTTAATTCTAATTTATTATATGACTAATGCATTTAATGACATTCTTTGGAAAACTGATTCAATTTATTAAAACAAATGGTGTTTGATTTATTTAATTCCAATTAATGTATACATTGAGCCATACTTAATTTATTATAGATTAATTGGAATTAGATAAATCAAACACAAACTGTTTTAAGTAATTGAATCAGTTTTCCAACTAAAAATCGTATGATAACTTAAATTTCAGTAGCTGCATTAGTCATATATTTAATTATAATTAGAATAATCCGTCATATAATAAATTAATTGTAGTTAAGGAATCAAAAGTATAGTAAATGAAGTCGTGCTAAAGATCATGTACAGCTATTATATGTCTTTTTATTAATATATGTCCATCAAAACATTTGATGATATTCTCTGACGTGTAGATGTTCATCAGTGTCTTCATTTGTGTCTTCTGCAGTGGTTTTGGCTCTGGAAAGGCTCATCATGTGTGCATCAGTGAAGTATGGTTCCCGGGGCCCTGCGCTCATACCCCGCATGAAGACTAAACACCGGATCTACTACATCACCCTCTTCTCTGTGGTCTTACTGGGTTTGATCGCAACGGGGATATTCCAGTTCTGGCCTCACTCCATTGAATCCTCCGCAGAATGGAGTCTGGACCGTCGTAGTGTGCATGATGCTCCTTTGGTCAGGATACCTATGAGCAGCCCTATTTCTGAGAG